CTTGGTCTTTGAGGTTGCCGTCGTAGGTGTAGTCGTCGTGCTCGGGGAGCCGATCGCCGTCGAGGGTGCGGTCTTCTCACGGGCCTTCTTCCATGCGTGGCGAAGGCGAGCGCGGACGACTGGCATGTCGGCGACGTTCACTTCCAGGATCTTCCCGTCCTGGAGCTTGAAGGGCGACGCGAGGGGCTGCACCATCGCCTGGTCGAACTCCTTAACGTCGTCACCCATTTCGGCGAAGATCTCTGTCGTGAGTATGCCTTTGGTCGCGACGTAGGCGATGAGGTCCTCCGACGCGCCGGCATCAGAGAGAATCGCTCGAAGGCCGGTGTCCATGACGATAGTGATGCGAGCTGGTCGAGCTATCTTAAAAGGGGGCTGCGGCAAGAAATGTCACATGTGACTCATGCTGGATGCGAGCGATGAACAGAGCACAGTCAGTCGTGTTTCTCCGAACGTAGCGCAGCGAGGCTGCGACTCAAAACTCTCAGCTCGAAGAGGAGTCGTAGCTGTCGGTCGACTCGGTGTCCGATGGCGGCACTTCCGCTGCCTTCTTGCGCGTCTCGGCCCCTGCCTCGGGGAAGCACTTCAGGCACAGGTTCTGCGAACCGTCGTCGTGTGCTCTGGTGAAATTGGAGTAGCCGTATGGCCATCCGCAGCGGGCGCGCCATTTCGCTGGCGGCCGCGAGGACTCCTCGGGGTCCCTCATGTGCGCTTTGCGCTTGCAAACCAGGTCCGGCCTGTCCTGGATCGACTCGAGGCGCGCGGCTATGTCATCAAGCGATCCGATCATTGCTGCCACGGCCTCTTTGTCCTCTGCGTCTGTCTTAGTTGAGCGAGCTTTCTTTGTCGGTCGAAGCGGAGGCGCTGGCTCGGACTCCTCCAGGTTGTGCACGAGGGTCCAGGGGGGGGAGTCGTGCGCCTTGTCCTTGAGGGCCGCGGGGCCAGGCGGAAGAGTCGGAAGGCCGGCGGCCGCAATGCCGTAGAGGGCGTCTTCCAGTTCGGTGTCCTGGACGTAGCGCTCGATCGCGCGACTCCCCCATCTTCCGATCAACATGATCGTGCTCACCGGTATTCTCATGCGACACAAGTGTTGAGCGCCCGAGACTCGAAGGCAGTGTCCCCCAAACCTGTTCACCTCGGGCTCAAGGGGAGCTCCGGCTCTGGTCAGCGGCACGTCGGCCGCGGTGAGAACTGCGTGGATCGCCTCGATCGTCTGCGCCTTCGTCATGGGCTCGCCAGTGTCGGCTGCGAAAATAAAGGCCTCGGGGTCGGAAGAGCAGTAGTCGGCGATGCGGAGCGCCGCGTGGTAGGGGCAGATCGTCTCCGGGATGGTGCCACAATAGCACGAGTGTCTTCGCTGCACCATGGACCCCACGGTGTCGTTCTTGCTCGCGGACAGGGTGAGGCACACTTGCTTTCTTTCGGAGTCGAGCGTCATGTGCTTGACACGGAGCGCGGAGAGCTCGATCTCGCGGCAAAGAAACCAGGATCCCAGGACCACCATGGCATGGTGAAAGCGAAGTCCTTCCTCGAGCAGGTCAATGCAGATGTCGAGGGAGTCGAGGCGAAAGGCGTCCTTGGGGGAGTTGGTGCCCATGCCTCGCTCGATGGACCTGATGGCGTCGCGTATCGCCAATTCCACGGGCGGGGGAACAGCTTGGCCCGTGACATGTATGTGCTCCTTGCGAGCTCGAGAGAAGTACTGAGCGGAGCTGCGGTAGCCCCCACTGCGAAAGCTCGTGCCGACCTTCTCGATGGTGTCGGCGGTCAGCGGCACGGGGCTTATTTTCCAGGCCGCACAAATTTTGCACCAAGTGACCCAGCGAGCGTCATTCGGGGCTCGCGCGGAGCGGGAGTACACATTGTCCCGAAAGTCCCGCAAGGCCTCCTCTGAGTTGAGCGGGTCGGCAGCTGCCAAGGCCTTGTTCAACATACCACCAGCTGAGGTTCTCGGAGCAGGCTGGTCGAAGCGCGGCGCGGGTCCGCGGGGCGGGGCGCTCCCTTGGCTGGCTTCCATGTGGTCTTTGTACCCCGACATGACCAACATGACCTCGATCTCACCGGCGAGTCGATGATCAACGTGGTTCGCGCGGAGTGCTGCATCATGTATGCTTTCGAACCCCAGCTCGCTCATCTTGTCGATGGTTTGCGGCGACAATCCGGCCGAAACCGCTGCTTGCATGAAGTCCACAAACGAGTGGTAGTCGAAAGCCGACATGGCGTGGCGTGCGCGCGCGTGCACAACGTAAGAGCAAAACAACCTGAGCCTTGAAGAGAACGGCTGCGCAAAGCGGGCGTCCAGCTTCTTGTGCATGAAGTGGTATGACCTGACAGGTTCGAGCTGCGGGGCTTCGGGAAAGGGAAGGTGCAAGCACTCGAGACTGTCGTTGCGAGCGAGACGAACCGACCACGAGGCACGACATGAAATGTACAAGTTCGTCAGCAGGCGTGCGACAGCGGGCTAGAAACCAAGCAGTCAACTGCACATGCCCTTGCAAACAGAGTCCCTTGCAAGCGCTCGAGGGAGAGAGTCAACGCGAGCGGAGACCTAATGCAACAGAAGAGGCACTCCTGTCAGCTGGCTTCGGAAGAGAAGAGAGTCAGAGAAAGGAAAGACCTAATGCGAGAGGGGAGGAGCAGCACTCACTCACTCCTGTGGTTCGGGTGGGGGGAGCGGGCTCGTCGCAAAAGCTCGGACCCCTTCTTTTGACGGCGCGAGCGGCGCGGGGTGCGAGGCGAAGCGGTGATCGATGTACGACCGCCGGTCGCCGTGGAAGAATTAGAAGGCCCGCTCTTCAGCGCCTTCCTGCGGAGCGAGCGCGCTCGCATGGGCCGCAGAAATGGTTGCCGTGTGCCGTCCCCGATCGCGTTCGGATGATGGGACGAAAGCACCGGCCCTGACATACTGGCGTGCGGTCGGCTTTGCGCGTCTCGCAGCCCAAGTTGCAGTAGCCTTCCACGCGGTGGTCGGCATATTTGCCGGGTGGAGGCTGTGCCGGGACGCCCTGTGGCAAGTTCCAAACGACATTGGTCTCGCCCGTCAGCAAGTCGCATGGCTCAGGCCACCCCTCCCAAGCGCGAAGCCGCTCTTCACGATCGCGGCGACGAGCGAGGCGAGCCTGGTCGCGAGACACCTCGGCGGGCGAAGGAAACGAAGCTTTTGCCACTGGCGGGTCGGGCACCGGAGTCGGCTGACTCGGTCCAGGCGCCCCCTCCTCCTCGTCGGTGTCCGCCGCTGTGGCGTTGGCCCCTGCTGCGGTCGAAGCTCCTGCCGTGGAGGACGGGCCGGGCTGAGCTGGCGACACGCACAGCAGCCTGCGTGAGACGACCCTCGGCTGGTCGTCATCATCATCCTGGTCGTCCCCATCGTCCTGGCCACCGTCGTCGTCCTGCTCCACCGGGTCCTCGGGCGTGGCGTCCTCGACATCAGAGGTGGATACTGGCTGCGAGGCAGCCGCAGCAGCCTGCATGAAATCCTCAAGGTCGGGCGCCAGCTCGTCGAAGAAAACTTCCACCGGCGGCGAGCTGGGCGGCGGCAAAGGCGGAGCGGGCGAAGGCGAGGCCGAGGGCTGTGGTGCCATAAGCTCAAGATCCTGTGGCACTATGTCCTCATACGGCTGGGTGAAGACTGCCGCCAAGGTGCTGTCGTAGTCGCTGGGTCGCTGGGGCGGTCGCTTCTGCTGAACCACGGCCTTGGCCGGCGTAGCGATCGGAGCTGCGGAGGCAGCCTTTGCTTTGGCCGGCGAGGCGGGCGGATCCTGGATCGTCGCCTTCTTGGGCGTGGTGGTAGACGAAGCACCCTTGGCCGAACTTAGAGCTTTCGTCTTCGGCTGCTCAGTCCCCGTTGGCTGCGTAGGTGAGGTCGTTGACGAGCTCGGCGGCGGGCTGGTACTCGACGGCTTCGGCGGGCTCGTTGGCTTAGACGGCATGGCCTTGAGCAGAGGGCCAGCGGCTTTCCCCAGGCTCTTGAGCAGCGGTCCGGGCATAGGCGAAGGAGTTGTACCTTGCGTCAGCATCTGCTGCTGGGCCAGCTCGAGCGTGCGGTCGCGAGCCGAGATCCGGGCCGCGTAATGGGCATCGGTACCCATGAGTACCGCATGCCCAATCCCGAGAACTCTGCGAAGCTGAACAGAGCCAAGCGAGCGAAGCAAGACACGAATGTCATCATCGCCAAGGCGGGGCAGAGCCTCGAACACACCCATGGTGTGACGGAACTGTTCCACCGTCATCGCCGCGTCGCTGCCACCGGCACCAACCACATCAGAGCTGGTAGTAGGCGGAGTCGAAGACATAGCGGCGCGGGCGAGCGAACAGCGGCTATGCCTGAAAAGCTTCACAGTCCTCGAGCGGGCAACAGCTGCGAAGTCTTGCTGTTGCCGCTCGTACATGTCACTACGTGCACACGTGCACTACACGACAATATGTCAAAATGTGGGCACAGTCTAAAAGAGCATCTTATGCTGAGCACCATTAGCTTCTTCAGCGTAGTTGGGGTCTAGGATGATATGCCTCGTGGCTTTACACATCTTATGGATCTGCACGGCGCATGGTTGTGGAAAGAGGTTCGTTTTTACTTACGATATGAGTCCCCGGTGCACCAGCTGCACCGTACCAGGGTTTCCGGTCGGGCTTCGCGGCATGCTCCAGTTGCTGAAAAACAAACGGGGATCCGACAGGACAATGTTTCTGGTACATTTTACATACGAGACATTACGTAGAAAAGAATATGAGTTGTTGATTGTATATTCTATGTTCAGTCGGCGCGCAAAAGAACACCTGCAATGATTGATTTCTCTGCCTTGCTTCTCCCATGCAGTCCTGCTTACTGAGCTGTTTCCAGCTGCGGAGTGGCTTGCCCCTAGTACTGGTACCCTAAACCCTGCACCCTAAACAACCGAAGAGAAGAAAACTCATGTTTCGATCCTCAGCTTCATCTCAAAATGCAAATGAGAAGTTGCGCTCGGCATCCTCGTTTCAACCCGTCGCTCTGGGTGTCCGGCCGGTGTTCCCAACTGCTGCGGGCCTCACTCTTGGGGCCATATAGCTTGGGTGGGTTTGCACAACGTGAACATGGCCGCAGTCGGGATTCGCAACCCGATCCCCGGAGCTCCTCGCAGTGGATATCTGAGGGCTCGCAGCGGCTCAGAGGTTTGAGGAATAAACTGGCAACGAAATTGCCGCGGACAAGCGGAATTGTGCCCGCCTTGCGGCGGGCATGCCCTTGCCAAGGGGTGAGCTGTCAGACCCACATTGCAACCTGTCTAACTTGAAGCCTAGGTATGCAGGAACCTATTCTCAACCACCCGCCTCAGATGCCTCTTGTCGCTCCATGACCGCGCAATGCTATATTGTACCGTACTATCGTATCTTATATCAGATTACTTCATACCATGTTATGTTATACTACATTACTGTCTACAATGTTTTCAAGCTTGCTAGCTGCGACCCTGAGACTTCGGGGTCAGGTCTGCGAAAGCTGAGGCGGGCACGGGCTGGAAGGTTGCGAGATGATGCTGCCTCAAGAAAGGATTGGGGCTTAGGGTCTTTTCTCATCCGCCAGGGTTTAAGGCTTTAGGCCAACTGACTGGGTTTTATCAGGGTGCTATAGGGTGCTGTAGGGTGTAGAAAGAAAATGTACGTATTTAGGGACGATAAAGGGATACTGCAAGAGTTGCCTTAATGATGGCTACTGCAAGGGTGACCATAAACTATAGGTTTATTACAAGGGCTACGATAAGGATTATCTTGAGGGCTGATGCTAGCCTCATTCGGCAAAGCCGTCACTGAGCTTCGGAAAATGAAACAGCCATAGACCTCAACCTCCTCGCATGAAAACTTAGGGCACGAAACTGAACGGCGACTTCAGCCCGAGATCCTGCACTTCATTGTGAGGTGCCGGCTGGATATCCATATGGATCCTGCAAGGAGCCAGGTTGTGCAGGAGCCAGGTTGTGCTGTTGCAGTCTGTCTATTTGTTATCGTGTTTATGTCTACTTTGTACTGCTTCTCACTGCATCTTCAAACGAGTTTGCCCAAATCTTCTCCCCCCTCGCAATCCTAAACCCTTGGCAGCAATGGTCCTCCAGAACCACACGCTGGCCCCTCATCGTCGTCATCTGCATCATCCGGTGCAATGCCCGATGCCGAAAGCCTGGCTCAGCATTGCAGAAGCAGAACGTAGTCCGAGACAACCCTATCGTGCTTTAGGTTTAGGGTTTACTGTTGCTCATTTTGCATAAGAGCGCGCACTGGGACGCTGATGTGATGTCCTGCGCCATGGGCCCTTGCGTCCATCACCGACTCTTGATACTGGCTGCACTGCAAAGGCCCGACTTGTGGTCATGAATATGGCTTGAGCGCAATATCTCGAATGCAAAACCTACGTGTATCATATACCATCATTTACTAGAAAATACCATAATCTGCTGTAATATAAGATCATGTACTATCATATACTATCATATACTACCATATACTATCATATACTGTCATATACTGTCATGTTCTATCATATTCTATGATTTTCTACAATCCTATAGTATACTATGATATGTGTAACATCAGAAGCCGGCCAGGGCTACGTGCCGTTGAGCACCAAGCTCTCCGAGATGACCCGGAGGCGCCCCCCGCCGGGGGAGCGCTTCCCACTCCCTCGCCAGGGGCAGAATCCGAAAAAAATGCACCGCTAGGGTTTACGGTTCAGGGTTTAGGGTTCAGGGCTTAGGGTTTATAGAAGTTGCATAGGGTTTGGGTCCGGGGTTTTGACCGAAAGTTTTGGTTTTTGACTTGTGATTTCGCATTCTGTTTGGCTAGGCCCGCTGGGCTGTGAGCTTTGGTCTGGGGTTTTGACCAAAAGCTTTGAGCAAAACGTTTTGAGCGAAAGTTTTGGCTTTGGACTTGTGATTTCGCGTTCTGCTTGGCTAGGCTGGGCCTGGGTAGTGCCTTTCGCGCTTCTTTTGGACTCTCGAAGAAAATCGCTTCTGTCGCAGGACCTGGCGCTCAGACGGCTGCCGCGGTCTCCTGGGCGATGCTGTGGCAAGCATGCGCTTTCTTTCTCTCCTTTGTTGTGGTTGTCCTGCCTCGAAGACATCCTCTTCCCAGAAGCAGATGGTATCCGAGAGATACCACCAAGGCATCCACTCGCCATCCGGGACCCTCTGCCATATGTAGCCTGCTCGCATGTCAGTGCTGTTCACTGTCCACCCCTTCTCGATGAGAAGGGCTCTCTTCTCTTTGACTGTGGTACAGGCCTGGCGCAACTAGTGACAACCACTGCCGCAAGATGCTAACTCGGCTCGGCGTCCCTTGCTCAGCCCCTGACACCCAGCTGGCTGTTAATGCTATCCAGCGGGCTCGGAGCTTTACGCTCTGGCTTCCTGGGTTTCTCACGGCGGCGAGGCCTGCAGCGCGATCGTGTTCGGCAGAGATATCATAAGAACTTCTTAAGGCTCCGTCGGACACCAACCGAGTCTGCATGCGCAGGGGGGGCCTTGACTCAAGGCTACCAATGGCATGAAACTACTCCTCACTCGTAGGATGTGCGAGGCCCGAACACAACATCGCGTTGTGCGCCTCCTCCCCTCCGTAGCCGGGGTCAACGCCCAAGTATTGCATATACTCCCGGCACTCCTGACACAATCAAGTCTGGTGAAGTGGGGAGTGGTTCCCGGCGGCACATCCTCAGGTGCGGACGCAGCAACGCAGCATACCTTCTGACTTCTCGAAATCGTGATCCTCGTCGCCAGAGCTCGAACGAGAGGGGGCGCTGGCTAGGAATTGATCGAAGATCGCGAGCTGCAGCCCAAAACGGTTAGGAGTAGCAGGCGTCTTGACGAAAATGCTCCTAGATGCTACTGGAAGTACTTCCCCTGCTCGTTGGCGGCCTCTTTCTCTGCTCTTGCCGGCGAGCCCTCTTGCCTCGTTCGGGCTCCCACCCGCACCTGGGTTCAGGATAGGCACCTGGCACCGCGGTTGAAGACAATGGAACCACTTGTGTATGCGAGTGTTCCGGCCTGCTGGCCGTCGCCGTCTCTCTGTACGTCGAGGATAAGCACCTATAAGCACCTAAGATCCCATATTGCTTGAAGATACGCGAATCTTTGGTGCATGCTAGCCCCCGCGGCCTCGTCGCCGCTTGCATCTTCGTTCCTGTCGAGGATAAACATGGCTGGGCTGCTTGGTGGGTTGGGCTGGCTGGGCTCTGGGGCTGGGCTGCCTGGGCGGGGGTTGGCTGGGCTGGCCGAGTTGGGACTGGGGGTGGGAGGCTGGCTGGGTGCCTGGGAGGGCTGGGCATGGAAGGGAGTTGGCTGGGGGCCCGGGTTTGTGAGCGAAACGTTTTGGGGGATAGGCTGGGTTATGGCTGGGACTTGTTGGGGTGGTTGTTGGATGGGGCTGGGCCTGTGGGGGTTGGGCTGGGGCTGGGCTGGAATTTGTGGACACTTCTAATGAAAATTTGAAACTAATGAAAATGCAATTCGAAGCGAACTTCGCGCAATTTCTATTTGTCCTGCTCTTGAGGGTTTAGGGTTCGGGGGTTAGGGTTCAGGGTTTACAGGGTTTCGGGTTGGTTTTCTTAAGTGCAGTGGACTTTCGCTCGCACGGAAGGTTGGTTTAGGGTTTCAAATCCCGTTCGGACGAAGCCTCCGCCTGCAGATCTTCCAAACTGCCAGGGCGCAAACGGGTCACCATAGACCAGCCTAAGCTGACAAGACACGGAAGAGGCGCCACGGATTTGGGGAGAGGGTTTGGGTAGGTCGATGATACTATGCCGGCCTTGGTAGCGTCGCTGGAGCACTCAGCTCTGGGAGAGTTTGAGTCGTCAATGCCTCCATTTTCACCTGCTTTGAGAGTGAGAGCAGGAAACCAAGAAAAGCCTCAGTTGACCCGGCACGGACTTGTTTCGAAATCAAGACGGATCCTCTTGACAGGTCGCACACTGCGAATATGTAAAGAAAACATCCGCGTTGTGTTAAACTTGGTGTGGCCACATGCGAAACATGCATCGGATCCCGCTGGCAGAAACTATTGTTGAGGATTTAGGGTTTTGGGGCTTGGGAAACTATCTTTGACCAGCTGCGATAGCCGCTTCTGCAGCTGCGCATCCTCGCCCGAACAGCCGGCGACGGTCCCTGGACCAAGATGGGATTCGAACCGAATGGATATTAGATCGCAAGAAGATATGCGGCCGTGTGAGCCATAGAACTTGGTGCTCCAAATCCTTGACCCAACGCCCTAAAGTCCAAACCAGACGTGTTGAAATTGCTACTACTGTTACTCTTGTTATCATGTGTGCCATGGTTGGCAAAGCTTTTTCGCTGGCTAAGACTGTGCAATCGACGACTACGACCATGACAATGAGGAAGACGAGACGAAGACGATGACGATGACGACGATGATGACGATGATGACGATGGGGAGGATGATGAACTTGATGTGGAGTCACAGTGACGATGATGATGACAAGCAGGCTGATGTTGATACGCAGAATGCTGCTCGTGATTGTAGGAGCCGTTTATCGTCATCCCGTTCTCTCCTGCCTTCAACTCTCGTAGATATCACGCAGGAAGCCGCTTCAAGCCTAAACCCACCATACCCGAAACCCTAAACCCACTATACCCCCGTCCTCCGAGGCCACCATGGGAGGCACCTCGCTGGGCCGAGGACCAAAGCTTCGAAGCCACGTCGCCTGCAGCCGCAAAACTATAGAATGCTTCACTTCCGGGATCTAGGGCTAAGGGTAAAGGGTTTGGGGTTTAGGGTTGTAGGGTTTAAGGTTCAGGCGGTTCAGGGCTTTAGGGTTGTAGGGTTTAGTGACTAGTTTAGTGTTTAGGGTTGCGGGTTTTAGGGTTTAGACACTACCATAGAACCTTATAGTCCCCTGTATAGTAGCTGTAGTAGGATATGTCCGAAAGCCCTGGTCGAATTACTAAGGCCTCTCTATTGTACCATACACTGAAACATCTTTGTAGGAACCATGAAGAGGGTGGGGTAGAACACGTGAATTACAATTCAAGGGCTCCCAATACGGCATACTGCTACCATGAGCAGGGTCATAAAGTCTATAATGGTAAGGACAGGAACAAGAGTAGGAGCGGTCGCGATAAGCGGGCTTCGGCGGAGAATGGATCCCGAAGCCGACAACCTAATATGACAGAAGATCGACTCTGGATGCCTAAACCCAACTCTCAAAACGCTGAACCCCTGAAACGCGGATCCCGAGGTCCTAAACCACTGTTGGAACGACTTAACCTTGAAAGGACACCTTCCTCAAGTTGGCATCGCCCCTTTAAACTTCGAGAAGCAAAACTGGATGTAGGGTATGGCATCACTGCTGCTGTCGTTGTAGGAATTACCGATGCTGGTCGTGCTGCTGACCATCCGCCTCCTGCTCCTCATCATTATTGATGAGAACAATACTAATCACACTAAGAAGAAACGGCCGCCGACGCTGATGACAGTCATGATCAGCATCTCTAAGGGGCTCATCATTCGTCATCATGATCATCATCATCATCATCATCGTTGGAATTGTCGTTTCTTGTAGTATTGCTGCGACTGTTGAACCGGCTGTGTTCCTGCTTGCATCCTTATTCATGCTCTCGCTTTTCTGAGTTACGAGGGTTGCCATCATTGAAGAGATCCGACAGTTCCTAAACCCCAAACCATATTCATTGCACGCGCCCTGGGCAAGCGCAGCTTCTGAGCACCAAGCTGGCTACGTTGGTGGGCTCGGGGTTGTGAGATGTGCCGTTGGTACCTCATTGCTGGTTTAAGATTTACGGGTTAGGTTTTGGCGTTTTTTAAAGGCTTATGGGCAAAGCCGACTTGACAGACCGAATTCTCTGTACGCAGGAAGTGCACATCTTTTTGAACGTACTGCGGGAAGTCTACTTACTCTTGTGTGTCTAAGCGCACACGCGAGTGAGTTTCCTCAAGGCTTCGACTGATCTCGGAGGTGTCCGAGATGATGACCTTGGCTTCCAAGAAACTCTTTCTGATACCAAAGCAGTAAGCTTCGACATCACAACCAAGAGGAAACAAAACAATTCGCAACTCCAATCGTTGCTGCCCTCTCGCACATCTTCCGAAATCCATCCAACCCTATCCCGGCACTCCAGCTCCAAGAAACTCGAAAAGCTCTCTGGAGTCCGAGCTGAGGACTACGGCTAAGGGGTTCTGTATTGATTCCATAGCTACTTGAAGCGGAAGCCTTGGCTAAGACCCGCCAAACCTCTTCGACGCTCATGGCCCCGGCGGTACGCGCTTGGATGGACACAGTCCCACAGTGCAGGAGCGATCCTCCGAGAAACCGATCAGGGCTCTTCTTAATCACTTTTTGGAGTTCAGAGTTTAGCGGCGTTAAGTTTAGGGCTGAGGGTCTTGCAATCGTCATTGTTGTCGTTGCTGTCGCTGCTGTTTTTGCTGCACTATTGCCACTATTGAACGAGGCACTTTGGGTAGAAGGCAACTGGCAAATCATCACCTGCTAATTGTTTCGGACATTCTGCATACTGGTATGGCGACACCCCGAACCCTCAACCCTATAAGCCTAGAAACCTAGGTGAGGCCGTCCTTCCAAGAGACTTAGGGTCCCTGGGATGGCGATGTCAATGCGCACGCTGTCGTAGTTGCCGATGCGAGAAGAGCAAAGCCACCAAGCCCCGCGAAATTCCACGTTGCCTGGCACCAGTTCCAAACGAGGGCTCCCGCTCAAGGTACCTATGTTGATGGCTGTGTGTGTGTGTACACCGTCCCTCCAACACGGGCCTGTTTAAAGTGCTCATGCTTCTGCCGCCAAGTCGCCAGACCATCGCACTTTCTGCTCCCGTGGAATGCTGCGATTCCCGGTCACAACCTGGGTACCAACTGGAGAGAACCCTCGACCCTTAGAGCACGGACCCCCTGATGTTTCTTTAACCACCCAGCCTTTGTCGACAGAGGCCATAGCACGAAGATCCTCATTATCAGCCCTATCCTTCTGTTTATAATACAGTCTTGGCTTTATAACCCTTGCCCTTGTTGAGGCTCTCGACGCATCTCTTCAAAGAGCTGAGGCCAAGGGCGCAGGTGTTCCCTTTAATGGCGGAGCACAGACCTGCTAAGCTGAGGATTCGGATAGAGAGACGAACATGCGTCACATGTATAGCCGTTTCTATCCAAACACACAAGTGTCTGCGTATGTATAATATACATATATGTATATATGTATCTATGCGCATATGAATGCATATAGAGCTACAACGAAGCTTTAGTTCAAACGGATGTGTCCGGAGCATGCCACACAGAAACGTGTTCGCTGGTCGCACCGTCCCTCCAGGCAGCTGCGGCCACGTGCAAAGCCAGGAGGCAGAAGCGCCTCGGGTGTGCCCGAGGAAGGTCTTCCCTGTCTAGCATCTTGTGAATACTTGGCGGAAGAGTATGACCTGAGGTATGATCTGGACTGTAACTGATCTGATATTTGTTAGAAGATACATACAGATAGATATAAGTCTTTAGATGGATAGACAGATGGACCGATAGAGATGGATGATAGATCGCCTGACCTAGAGATCAAACAGGTGAAACCGTAGGTACATAAATAGATACGTGGATGGGATTGGATACCACAGTGTCGCATAGGGTAGGATAGGATAGGGTAGGATACGAGATAGGATCGAAGCAGACAGACAGACAGATGGGATAGCATAGGATAAAACAGGATAAGATAAGATGAGGCCAGATAACATGAGATGAGATGAAGTAAAAAAACAAACTGGCCAAAAGAATAGGCACTGCCATAGACATGAACATGGATGTGGACATGGACGGACATAATGCATATATACTCATGCCATGTTCCGTCATGCTGCTGATGTCATGCAATGCTATGCCATGCTATGCTATGCTGTGCAATGCCATGTGTCACACAACGCTGTGCTATGCTCTGTTATATTGCGCTATAGCATACTACGAGAGTATGCTATAGTTCATTATGCTATGCTCTGCGGTGATGTGATATGGTTTGATATGATATGGGACTTACAGCTCCGGTTGTAATGTGTAGGGGGATGCAATCGGCCGCAGTACAGCTACAGCAAGAGACCCTTGCAGGATCTAAAGATACATCCGTATGAGTGCATACACGCAGACTTTCGTGTGATCTGCTGGATGTTGATGCGTTGATTATAATGTAGGGAAACAGGTACCCCGCAGCTTCGTCCACGCGGCAGTGTTCGTATCTGTCACTAGGTTGTGCATACTCTCTGTAAAGCATGGAAGCAAACTGAAAACCAAATCTCTTACAGGGCCTCAACCCTAAAATCCCTAAACCCCCAACCCTAAACCCGAAAACCCTCAAACCATAAATCCCTCAACCCTAAACCGCTAAACCCCAACCCTAAACCCCAAAAACGCTAAACCCCTAAAGCCTCAACCCGAAACCCCCTGCCTTCAATCCTAAACCCCTAAAACCCCCAACCTCAAACCCTCAACCCTAAACCCCCCAAATCCTCAACCCAACACCTGGGGAGCAGACCAGGCCGCCATGAAGTCGTCATCCAGGCGTCGGGACGGCTGGGGTTCTACAAGCACGCATCTTCCCTGATCTTCTGAGGCGTCATTGGGGCTGTCTAGGTTTCAGGGCTTTAGTGGTTTAGGCGGTTCAGGGTCTTGGGTTTGAGGGCTTAGGATCTTAGGGTTTAGGGTCTGGGATTTAGGGTCTTAGGGTTGAAAGTTTACGGTCTTCTGGAACTTCTTGTGACACGTAACAACCACGCAGGACGACGGAATTCCAACAGAGGGCGCTCTCAGATGTCCGCGGACTGGCTTGAAACAGTAGGACCAGGGTAAAGCAGATGCATCTTTCTGCTGCCCTGCAAGGTCCCAACCAAGTGTCTGATGGTTCCCCCCCTGCAACAATCAAAGGCGTTCTGCAAGCTGCTCTCCTGACAGGGAACACTTTTGTCCTGTGGCTGTTGAAACGGCTCATCTGGCTGCTACCGCATAATCTTGAAGCTGCGCCCTTTCGTCGAGGGCCAAAGCTCATCAGATTGAGCTTTCTCCGAAGCTGGACAAGATGCTTCCTTTGTACACGTGGCCACCTGGCCGCGCAAGCACAAGCCAGCAGGGCGAGCCATGGGTCATCTCCGGCGCTCGCGCGGCCCCCGCACTTCTCGCCACCCATCACGGCCATCTCGCCCGTCTCGCCCGTCTCGCGCCTCTCGCTCCCTGCCGTCCCGAGGGTCCCGACCGTCTCGGCCATCACGACCATCTCGGCCATCGCGGCCATTTCGGTCATCGCGGCCATCGCGGCCGTCGCGACCGTCGCGGCCATCGCGGTCGCCGCGACCGTCGCGACCGTCTCTGGTGTCTCGGGCTTCTCGCCCATCTCTGGCATCACGCATGTCTCGGTGATCCCTCTCTCGTTCCCGTCCTCGCCCATCGCGAGCATCTCTGGGGTCTCGTCCTTCCCGTTCCCGTCCCGGCCTTCCCTCTGCTTCTCGCTCACCTCTGTAAGCATGATTTCCCCGATCTCCTCGGCAGAGGACATGTCACTCACGAGTCCCTGGGCTGCATCTCCGATGAAGCATTGACCCAGGGCTTGAAGACAGGACTCAGTTGAAACCTCAAGAGGCTTCTCGAATATGAAAACCCGCTCTCATCTAGCAAACTCTTCAGTATACATTAGAGGTACCTTATTTTGGGGTCCTTATAATAAGGTTCATACTATTTGGAGTGCTATAGGTATCATTATGGCATTATCATATTATTGTTATAGTAGTATTATGGTCTTATTCTAGTATCATTATCGTATACATAGTATCTAACTTCTCATCTCTGGGCCCCGGACGCTCGGGCGGCCGCTGCTCGGGGGCAGCCGGCCACGCGGCACGGCGCGGCGCGGCGTTCGGCGCTCCGGCTCGAGGCTTCGCCTTGCCTTCGCTCTCGGAGGCGCCTCAAAATGCGCGGTTTAGGGTTTAGGGTTTAGGGTTTATGTTGGGGGTGTTTCTAGAGGGACTTGGGGGTTTCAGGATTTGGGGGTTTCGGGTGCTAAAGGGTGTTTGTTGGTTTAGGGAAGATTAGGGTTTAGGAGTTAGGGCCGCTGCGGGGTTTGGGGGATGTGGGGGCTTCTGGAGAAAATGCAGAGAGAGCTTGGGTCCGCTGCTGTAAGGGCCTCAACAACTAGAATGGGGTTTTGGGGGTTCCGTACTATAGCTATAGTGCAACTAAACCCCAGCCCTATTCTAAATATGAAGGCCCAAACATTATGGCAGTGGCCGGTGCGCTGCGACCAAACCGAGCTCCTGGCTCTCGTCGACTTCTTCCTCTTCCTCCTCGCTCTCATCGTAGGAATCTTCAGAGCCTGCACTTACGACTCGGGGTAACTTATTTCGGGGTCCTTATGATCAGAACCCTACTATTTAGGGTGCTATATTAGGCTCCCCTATTTTCGGAAACTGCCACTTACGCCATGCGACAAGTCAAGAAGACCAGGTCGCTATGACGGAAAACGGAGCCGTTTCTGCGCATGGCGCATAGCGCCTTCCTCGGCGTTCTCGCCCTCCTTCGCCGGAGCTTCCGGAGCCTTCTCGGCTTCCTGAGTCTCGTTCGCTGTGGCCTGTTCCGGCCCCATACCTCAAGGGCAGACTGCGAGAGGATGCACTGGGAAGATGCGGTGGTGCGCCGTCGCTTCAGCAAGATTCCCTGGCAGATTTCTACCGACCATGACATGTTTCGGACTGGGATCGCAGCCGTACTTCTTGTCGAACTCGGCAAGTGCTGCAGCATTTTCCTCACCCTGACTAGACACTTGCAATAGCAGCATGGCAGACTTCTCATGCAGATTCTCGTGTGCGAATGCAGCTCATAGCCGCACCTTTGCTTTGGCAGCTTCCGCAAGCTCTTCCTTTTCTGTTGCAGCAGCCTCGTGACACATCCGGAACTAAACTCACCACATCGCTGACGTCGCTATGCCGCTGCAGAGGGAAGTGAAGTATCGCCAGCTTCAAAGTCGGCCCAATGTGGTGGAACTGGGAGAGGCTGTCCAAAGTGCCGCCTCGGCATCTGCAGCTTCCTTTGCCGCAGCCTGCGATGATGACAAAGGCAACACGAACACCAATCCACTGGCTCCACCACCAAACCATAAACTAGGAACCCTGCACACCGCACACATTCTGCCTATCTTCTGTATTCTGCCATGTAGAATACTATGGCCTCGGCGTCCTGCTTGAGGCGGTGGACTTCGTCCTTGGCCTCCTCGACCTTCGCGTTAAAGGCAAAGCGAGTTTAGGGTTTAGGGGTTCAGTATGTCGGGATTGAGGTTTTCGAACCTAGCGTCTAGATGCTTCTGCCAAAAATGGGAGGAGCCTTGGTTCCTGAAACAGGATGGCAGGAAGAATCGTCTCCGCTTCCGTGCGCTATGATGTCTTCAGCAAGGCTGGCTGGTTTACAAGGAAGTTGTCTGGAACTCGGTTGGAGCTTGAGGTGCTTACCATGCTGCACTCTGCTGGCATACACGCAATGGTGGCGGTAGCCTGTCATGAGCAACCGATAATCGGGCCTCCTGGGTGAGTGCCGCAAGTTCTCGTTTCTTGGCTTCCACCTGGAGCACATAGAAACGGCTGGGAGGTGGCGTGCTACATCCACGCCGGCCTCATCTTGGAGCTTGTCCAACTTCGCTGCCTCACGACCACCATCATGCATAAATAATATACACCTCAATATACTGTATGTTATATCGTTATCTCTAGTGAAGAAAAATTGAATTTGAAACATACTAGGCAGTATAATAAAGAGGCGACTCCGAGACTCCCTGCCTGGTCTGCGGCGTTCTCCTCCGTTGTCGTGGCCTTCTCGCGCTTCTCAGCCGCCAGCTCCTTGGCTTCCTGGAGTTCAGGCAGAGGGCTTCAGGATGCTTAGGGATCATGACTACGACAACAATCATAAATTTCTATGTAAAATATTGTTGATCATGACAATAGTAATAGTGATAATAAGTGATCAGGGTTCAGAGGAAGGGAGTCAAGGGTTTAGGGTTTAGGAATTAGAATATTTAGGGCTCAGGGCCGTGCAGAGACGAAAAAAGACTGCGGATTCCCGGGTCCGCACCTCAGCATCTGCGAAGGCTTCGCCTGCTGCAGACATGGTCTCCGCGACCTGGAAGTTGCTTTAGAGTCTGAGATCTGCTGTCTTTCCAGCCCTTTGAGAAGTTCTCCAGTCGGAATTCGGTTACCGGAACCCCCAACCCAAACGAAGCCGAAGCTTCTCTTCCTGTTGAAGCCCAAAGCACTCACCGCCCCCAAACCTCTTGAAAGTTTGAGCCTAAACCCTCGAAAACCTGCAACACCCAAAATCCTAAACCCTCAAACCCTAAACCCAAAACCCAAAAAAAGGCGCGCCTTCGCCTCAAGCTCGTCACGTCGGCTCTTTCGCTCAGCTGTGGTCGACCGGGCTGGGACGGTCTCCTTGGGCTCCTCCCTGAGACGGTCGTAGCTTTGTGGGTTGAAGGACTGCTGGTTTGGGTGTTTAGAGGTTTAGGGTTTAGGGTTTAGGGGTTTAGGGTTTAGGGGTTTGGGGGCTTTGGGGTTTTGGGCATGTATGATTTCGGGATTTCCTGTTTACATGCTTGCAGATTCAGGGGCCCCATGGAGCCCGTAGGACAAACAATCTAGCATCCAATTCAGCGGGGTCATCCACTCAGAGCTTGCCGTGCTTTCCAGAATGCTCGATTTGCGATGCCGCCCGTCGTAGCAGGTGCCCCCTTGGGCTCTCTTAACTGTAACCTGAAAGGGAAACCCCGGATTCCAGGAACCCTAAACTACTGCCACCATTCTGTTTTGGGATATTTCACAGCAACCAGCCACAGAAGTCGCGTCTATGCGAAAACCTTGGCTCAAACACTTCATTTTAAACGGGCATCGAACTTATGACTGCAATGATTCTGATTGCTATGGTGTTGATTGCTGTGGTTATTAAGATTCCTACCATACTATCGTGGTTCAAAATTCTTATTATCCTTATTAATAGTTGTATTTCTACCACTACTACAACTACTATTATGACAACAACAACGACGACTACGACTGCGAATGCGATTACGGTACGACGATGACTATTACTACTGCTTCAGTTTATATTTCTACTTCTATTTGTACCTCTATTTGTACCACCAGTACGAAAACCCGATAACTACTACGTGTACTACTGCTATTGCTACTACTGTGAGACTACGACTATCACTAGTAATACTTTGATTATGACGATGATTAAATGTGTTTGTGCATTAACATATAACTACTATGTGTTTTCCATTACTCGTTATACTAAGCCTGTTACCACGATTATGACTATTAGTATGATGATGATCCTTTGGTGGCCTCTTCTCTCCAGAGCTGCTTTCACTCTCCTCCGAGCACCTCACGGAATCCGAGCCCGGGCTTTCGTGGCATAGTTTAGGGCTTCAGGGTTCAGGGTTCAAAGCTTGGGGTGTGCGGTTCAGGCTTTGGGAGTTCGGGTTTTGTTGAGTTTTGGGCTTTACGGTTGCAATCCGCATCCAAGCGTGACGCGTCTTTTGAGCAAAGCAGGCGCGAGCGCGTCGGCGCAGTCTCGAATTTTGGGCTTAGGGTTTGGGGTATCGGATGTTTGTGGTTTTTGCAGAGCTCGGGCCATGGCTCGCTGTCGGAAGCGTCCTTCTTCACCGGCTCCTTCTCCATGCGCCTGATTGGTTTAGGGTTTAGGGATTATACCTGGGCCCTAAGGAACCTACCTTTTCAGGGTTCCCTAATATGATTTCTTTACATAAGTCCTTAAAGAGGTAGGTTACGTGGGGTTAAGGTTGGGTTTAGGGTTCAGGGGCACTGGGCAGCAGCCCAGGGCAGCTTTTGGGCTTCTTCTCAGGTCTTCCCTCTCTGTGCCTGCGCTTCTGCGGCTCCGCATCCTGTGGTCGGTCCTGTGGGGAAGAAGTATCTTATTATTGTTGTTAGTCTTGTTAGTTTTATTCTGGTTGAATATATTCTCATTATTGCTATTATTGCTATTACTGTCTTTATTACTATCACTGTTAGTAATATTATTAGTAGGAAATTTTTGGTAGTTCGCAGCGGCGGGCCAGGGCACCTCAGCCTCGTCCCGACTGTCAGAACGAGGGGCGCGACGCACACGGCGGCGACGGCCCCGTGGATCCTGTCGGTCCTGTGGGCAGAGGTGCTTATACTGATAATAACAATAGTAATAACAATAATAACAATAATGATAATGATAATAATACTAAAAATAGTGACAATATCAGTACTAATCATAATACTAATAATAACAATAATAATCATAGTAATAATAATAGTAACAACAATAATAATGATAAAGATGATACTAATAATCATAATAATGCTAGTAATCACGACAATCATGATAATAACACTATAATAGTAATACTGATAATACGGAAAATACTAATGATACTAATAATAATAAAAATAATAATAACAATAGAAAGCCCTCCAGCTATCTTCGCCCGCACCATTGGCGCCTCGACGCTGCGGGGCCGAGAGCGACGCTCATCCTCGGGTCGACCTCTGGGACGCCGCCTCAGTGCTGGGCAAGCTCCCTGCAATATCCCCACTCAAGGATACCATAGATAGTGTAGTATAGTGTAGTATATGGTACACTATATAGTATAGTAATGTATAGTATGATATAGTATAGTAGAGAATTGGACCCGACCCTAAGACGGTTTGGCCTGTCTGGACGTTCGGCTCGTCGGGAGAAGCCATGCCGTCTTCTGCGCCTTCCTCCTGACATGCACCAAAATCACTAAACCCGCCTGCACTCCGCATCCAAGCTCCAAGCCTTCTCCCCGCCGCTCTTCCCACTCGCCACGGTCCGAACGCCTTCGCTCGGCCAGGCGATAGCCACCTTTCGTGAGGTGAGACTGAAGTTGTGAAGTTGGAGACCAGGGTTTCTTGATCCGAGCCCACCTCCTCCGCGGTCCCAATCCCGATCTCGTGGCCCAGGGCCTCAGGTTCTCTCCCCGAAAGGATGCTCTCGAAGGATCCGATCGACGGGATTTGGCCGAGATGCCACGGTCCCCGCGACCCCCGCGGTCACCGCGTCGATCGCGGCCTCCCCGGTCGCCTCCTGAAACTCCGCTAAAGATAGGGTTTAGGGATCTTTCGGGCTCAGGGTACGCACCTGGCCGATCCCCACGATCTCCGTAGCGCCGACCTCGACCTTAGCAAAATCGCGAACTGAGCAAAGCTGGACCGCAGATGCTTCCGCTGTCGAGGAGACGACCCGACGGGCTTCTGCCTCCGCCTGGGCATTTCCACGAGTTATACACAATCCTAACATCATAACGGTCTAACGATAGCGGCAACAGTAACAACAATAAACAAGCATGGTATTAGTAATAGCAACAACAATCAGACTAAGAATAATGATATAATGGTAAGACTAGCAATAAAAGAACTTCTTATAGTACTATGACCCAGGTACAGCATGTCCAATCACTCCTGCTCTTGCACGGACTCACCAGGTCTCGGTGCCTGCGCGTCCCCGCAAGGTCAAAGCAGGCCTGGCATTTCCACCGGATCTACGGAAATAGCTACAGGAATCTTGGATCTGCTAGAAACCCTAAACCCTAAGCCCGAACCCTAAACCCTAAACCCGCCTTTAAAGCGGAAATAAAATGCAAGGATCTGGCCTTCGCCTGTCGCCGCCGCCGCCACCGCCGCCACCACCGCCGCGACGGCTCCGGCTGCGGTCTCTGCGGTGGCCACGGTCGGGTGGTCCCCGCATCCTTCACAAAATAGAACTTCTAAAAACATAACAAAAAATATAACAAAGGCAATATTCATGATAATAATCAGCGGCTAGTGCCACGGCTCAGTGCGATTGCAATCACATGCAGCAGCCACCTCGCACCGCGGTCTGGATAGCGACCGTGTCGATCGCCACTGCGTGCCTGTCAAAGCAACGCCAACCGGAACATCTTGTTGGAGGGATTGACAGGATGGCGATTTAAGCGAAACCAATCACCTGGCGATCTCGCAGAAGACGAGATCGCTCGTCCTGCACCAAGCTGACAGTGAGACCAAGCTCCAAAAGCACAGCCATGGCAGATCTACAGAATGCTGCCACAAGTACCACAGAAAGCTATCGCAGCATCGCCACAACTCGCATGACGGAGTGAATAGGCAAAGAGACACACCTGCTATAAGCGACTATGCTGCCAACAAGGTCTATGTTTTGACCCTCAACACCGTGCCTGGTCAATGAGCTTGGCGTCGACAGTCGCTCCATCGACATCCATGCCATTCAGTTCCTGCGGGCAAGGCTTGCGATGTAGAGGGCTCAGCACGTCTGATAGCATCTAGTAGCTATTACAGCTATTATGATTATGGTGGTTGGTATCGTTTGTAGTTACAACTAGACTAGGTTGCAGGTTACAACCTCCACTTCTGCATTTCAACGGCTTCACCTGACAACTCCATCTCAAGCTGCATCTCGGACGAACCCTTTAGCCAGCAGCGATGGACTCTTGCAGTCGAAACTCCAATCGTCTAGTCTCGCAAGTCATAGCAGTTGAGCACCAATCTTGCGAATAACTATGGGGATAACAGCAATCGTAACCGTAATGGTAATAGTAGTTGTAACAGCAATGGTAGTAAGAATGACACAAACAGTAGTAATAGTAAAACAGGCAATAGTAATAGTAATATTTGTAATAATGATAGTAAAAATCATGATATATAATCGTAATGACACTAATAAGGTTTAGACTCCCGAAAACAACAATCTAAACATACTCAGCCTTCGGCGGCTCTCCTCTCTCGAATTTGTTGGTCACGGCGACATGGGTCCACACTTCGACGACACAGTTTAGGGTTTAGGGTTTAGGGGTTTAGGGTTTAGGGTTTAGGGTTTAGGGTTTTAGGGTTTTGGGGTTTAGGGTTTAGGGTTTAGGGCACCAAAGCATGCCCAAGTCAATGAAGATCCTTGGAACTCCCTACCTTGCTTCTCACTCAGTCTGTACAAAAATGTCGCTTGCAGAGCAGCACCTATTCTCCCAAGACCGACATCGACCCCAATGAAATGTCCACCCTCAACAACAACAACAAACAACAAACAACAAACAACAAACAACAAACAACAAACAACAAACAACAAACAACAAACAACAAACAACAAACAACAAACATCAAACAACAAACAACAAACAACAAACAACAAACAACAAACAACAAACAACAAACAACCAACAACCAACAACAAACAACCAACAACAACAACAACAACAACAACAACAACAACAACAACAACAACAACAACAACAACAACAACAACAACAACAACAACGATAGCAACAATAAACAGCAATAGCGATAGCAATAACAATAACACCAGCCATTGTAATTGTCAATATATCCGGACCAGTCAGACAAGGTACTCCGGATGTTCTGAAACCCTGAAGTGGCCCTTCACCCTGCCTTGACCAGTGCAGCGGCTTCGGCGGACGTCTCGGCCTCGACTACGGCCGAGGGAGGGTCGCGGCCTCAGAGGCGAATGGGCGGAGGACTGGTGGAATTCTCGAAGCCAGGGACTCTTAGAGACTTTAGGGTCTGGGAGTGAGTGAAAGTAGGCGAGCCGGAGAAACCAGGTGGGCGATCCCGAAAGTGCCGCTGACATTATCCTGAGCAGAGCGGGCTGTGCTATGACCCAGGCCTTCAAAGAATCCCGAAGAAAACAATTCGCCCGTCCTCCGTTGATGTCAATTTGTTTGATTTTGGTTTCCAGCCACAACCGCTTCTTTGTCGAGAGCGTCTTGTACTGATCGAAAAGGCAGTGGACGACAGGTAGCTGCCCAGCATGTTTTCATGAGGTCTTGCAAGGTGTTGGGATCGCGGCGGCTTGCATCAGGTTGCTTCAGTTCCGCTCCGATTTCACATCAAAGCCGGCCATTTTTTGTCGGCACTCACCCTGCTCACCCGCAGCACATGCTTCGCGCCCAGCGTGTTGTTGGGACTGAAACAAGAGGATGCACAAAAGAACTGATTGCACTGTCTGGGTCGGAATGCGAAGCTATGCGCATGAGGTTCGGAGGTAGGCGCAGCTTCTGTCATCATCGGTCGTAGAATCTCGGGATCCTGCCGAAAAACGTGACCTGCTGGACCTTGCCAGTGGAGCCAAACTTGTCAAACCTGGGGCGACACTGCATACGGAAAATATGAAGGTTACGCTAGGACTGGTGAAATGCCAGAATCACAAGCATACATACTACATGTTGTAACTTTCATGATTCCCAAGTCTATTCTTCGAATGTTTAATGCAGTGTGATATGCTGTGTAAACAGAAATATCCTACGTACAATGAGAACATGATAGGATGCTACGGAATATGGATCAAGTATGCCATGTAGTCAGGATGAGGACGGCACGATTCTCATATATTCTCAAATGCATTGCTTGTGCTAGTTACTAGTGTTGCTACGATTATGCACGGTGTGAGCAGCATTGCTTTTACCATCTCCATTGCCATTACCAGTGCTACTCTGCAATTCTTTTTGCTGGTAGGGGTAATACTTCTAAGGCATGCCTACAAACAGTGATTACAGAAACATCACGGAAGTCAATGACAGCAACACCAACAACAACTACTACAGAGATGACGACAGCAACGGCAACAACAATACAAACAAGAAACACCAACAACACCAACAAAAGCAGCAGCAGCAGCAAGAGCAGCAACAACCATACTGATGCCAAGAATCTGTAACGTTAACCACTGGTAACAAGGTTAGTGGTAGTTGGAGTGGGCAAGACTTCCATAATGGTAACGCTACTGGCGATGCTGGGGCTGTGGCCACTCCCGGTGTCGTGCCGAATCCGGGAGATGCCGTGCCACCAAGAACTTCGACTCGACGGCAGCGGCCTGGAGGCGTGTTTCGGAGTGTCAGTGGTTCAAGGGGTCTGAGGGTCTCGGGCTTACGGTTCATAGGTTAGTACCAACCTCAACGCTTTTGCGCTGGAGGGTCAGAGATTCTCGACGAGATTTGTGGATGGTCTTCTGTGCTCTGTGTGCTGCGCTTAGTTTGACTTCTTGAGCCTTGAAAGTTTGCACTTGTGGCTTCAGCACACGACCCTTCGGCACCGGCTGGCTGTTGAGACGCAGGCTTCCTTTGAATCGCCGTTTGTCGGTGCAGCTTCCTGGAGCCAATGTGCCAATGCATCGGTGCTGCTGGGAATGTGGCGAAGCTTCTGTAAGCCCATGACAGTGCGAGCTTTCTTTTGCCTAGGGATTGGAGCCAGGATGCTCTCGCCGCTTCGAACACTACCACCGCGTCTAGATTCCAGGCTCCCTGCGAATCTCCTTTGTCAGCCTGCGCGGAGAGCACAAAACGCACGAGTTTTGTTGCAGCCCGGGAGTTCCAAAAAGAGGCCTCTTCGTCGTCGTCGACCTCCACCACATCCTTGGCATCCTTGGTTTCCTCGGGGTTCGCGGCCTCCTGGTTTTCGCCCTCGCCCTCGTTGGGCTCGCCCTCCTTCCAGAGACACTAGAAGAGCTACGTGCACAACACTTCTTGCGAGTGGCCCATGCATCACCTTGACGGACGGCAAATTACGGAGCCTAAAGCTGCAGATTCCAACACCCTGCGCCCTGCGCTGCCAGGCTATCTCAACAGTGCTCCTCCGTAGCATCGGGCTGCTCCGTGTCGCCCATGGCTCACCCTGAGCAAGGACTGAACAACTTTACATCTGCGTGTACCAGTACCATAGGTACATAACCGATACGAGGTTGATGATGACAGTGATCGTCATCAGCTCCATGATGCGGTTGATGTTGATGAACATGATGCAGATGCTGGTGATTATGTTGGTCATGGTCATGATGATGATGATGACGATGATGACGCGGAGAATGGTCATGGCGATGAAGGCCGGGACGACGCACTGCCAATACCACTGCCACTACCACTACCACCACCACCTGCTGGTGGTTTGATTACAACTATTAACACTACGACCACCACCACCAGCAATCTGCATCCACATGCCAAAGGTTGCGATTGAAGCACCTGAGGACTCTAGATTGTAGTCTATACTGCTGTCGGCAGCTGCGTCCGTTGTTATGCCCCCACGGTCGACGAGGTGACAAACCATGTGCCCCAAGCATCAGCCGCCAGGCCATGTTGAGTCGCTCCTGTGGCGGCCCAGCGCATCCCAAGGCAGAGTCTGCGCAGAGTCCGGTGGCCGAAACCACGAAGCTCCCGCCGGCAGCTCGGCGTTTCAGCCTCTCTCGCTGTCCGTGGCTGTCTCCAGAGTCGTGGACTTCATGTCGTTTGGAGTACGCCCCTCTGCATAAGAACAGCAGAAATGAGTCACCTGCAGGTCGGCAAATGTCGGAATGTCGGATGCTCATATGTAGGCAATCAGATGCCCTCTATTCCCTACAGCCCAAGATTCGAAGCCGATCGAAAGCCAGCAGCCGGATTGCCACAAAGCTGTTGCCGCTCAGCCACCAGTAACAAAGAACCCCCGAAGGTCCCGATAGATTCTGTGGGCCATGGTCTGGAAGGTGGCCACATTGCTCTGGTGCTCCAGAAATGCTGCCACCACCGCGCACGGATGGATCGTATCTAAGGTGCGAAAGGCTTACGCAGAAACTGCCTTTTGCATCCTTTGCGGCTTACGCACACAACGACGTCCCCAGAGCCCTCAACAGAAGAACAACCCTACGGTCAAGAACCGTGGCATCTCACTCAAATCTCTGAGCAGCATCGGCCACGGCCTGATCCGGGCTTCAAAACGCAGAGATTGGGTCTCGCCAGCCGGCAGCTCTGGTATGGCCCTCAGCTTGTATCCTGAGGCAAAAGAGGCTAAAACCTAACCCACCAAAACCCTAAGCCAACCCAGGAGCCACGAGGCCCAGGGCCGCTTCCGTCTCCCAGAGACGAAGATCTCAAAGGCCCCCAAAAAACGGGCCCGGGAGAGGAGAAGGGAGAAGAAACCAGCCATGGCGAAACGAAAAAACTGCGAATTCCCGATAGCCGGTCGCTAGCCTTCAGCGGCGGAAGCCTAATTAAACGGATCCTCTTGCCCAGGATCCGACTATGCAGGATCTTGATTCATCTCTTGACATGGGAATAAGTGCAGCCGAGGTGCTTGGTGCCCGAATGCAGGGAATCGGGAGCGGGCACATCGCGCTGCTGGGCCTCTCTGATACCTACCAAGTGGAGCCCAGACGCAGCGGACAGGGCAGCGGATATCCGAAGTTGACGCTGCTTTCAGATTCACGGCTACACCTCAATGTCTAAGCGCTTGCGACAGCCAAGAAACTTTCAAAGGCCAACCCCAGCCCAACACACTCCGGTAGGATGAAAACGGAATCGGGCGAATCTTCACAAGCGACATCCTTCTTGGAAGGAGATGCAAGAGACAGATTGCAGACTTTGCAGCCTGTTGGACCATTAGGACTCATGTACCCGGCACGCTCATAAAGTTGCGAGGTGTACGGCATGCACACAGGCATACGGAAGAGAAGCCTGATCATGTACAACACAGAGGCATCGTCTCATTGCAGCTTGGACCAAGGTGCTTGGTTTACTTGCCTCTTCAAGGATGGCTGGCAGCGGCCTATTCCGACGCTAAGTGACCCTAAATCCTAAACTCTACATTGTCTGTAGCACTGATCCAGCCGCTGAGAATGCATGCAATTACTGGTACGACACTCGCGGAGTGCTACAAGATGAAGGTGGACACCTTCTTGTGAAAACCAGTCGATTGGGGGTCCGGGACTTTAGGGTTTCGGGCTTGGGGCTTAGGGTTTAGGGTTTAGGGTTTAGGGTTTAGGGTTTAGGGTTTAGGGTTTAGTGTTTAGGGTTTAGGGTTTAGGGTTTAGGGGGCATCTTGCAGCACCCAGCAGGAACAAGAAAACTCATTACATCATTTCGCATCTCTGGAACCTGGCAAGGCTGCAAGTCAGCGGGAGTTGACAGTGCACAGAGGGGGTGGGGACAAGCTACGCTGCACCCTGCTATTCCCGATACATATATATGTATATGTGCATAAAAACATGTTACATAGCTAGGTATACACATATACGCATATGTACATATACATGCATAATATGCGTAGGTACATATACACAGATACACATAGACACAGATACACATATATCTGTATATGTATACATATGTACATACATAGACATATGTGTGCATGTGCATACACACATAAATACATCTACCTACCTACATACATACATACGCACATACGTATTTATATATACATACATATATATATATATATATATCAGTTACTACGATCGCAGACGTTCGGTGCCCTCACTGAACAGACTATCGGCGATCACACCTTTTTCATGCGACCGCAACGTGGGAGTCGGCCACAGTCGGATCATCAAAATTTCACTTGATCTTCACAAGTCCGATCGGACCCCCGATCGCCGAGGGGTGCGCCATGGCATTCACCACAGACCGCAACATCATCCGATCGGACACATCAGACAAGCGATATTCCCCGCGAACAAAATTAAAAGTCTTCGATCGGATCATCGGGCTCCTCGATTGGATCATCGTCGAGGGGGGCCGCGCCGAGCAAGTCAATCAACTGCCGCTCGGCGGCACGAAAAGCTGCATCAGGAGTAGCTTTGGCTTTCGTCCGAGCGGGAGTAGCGCGAGAAGCCTGGTACGCCGCGATCTGGGCGGGAGTCGGGGGCGCCTTGGTCGGCGGACTCGAGCTCCTCGTAGACACCATGATCTCGGTGCCGGGAGGGAGCTGCGTACCGGGCGGGAGCTGATCTAGCCGCCGCGGGGGCTGCCCCGGAATGACATAGTGAGCCGGTCCGCTGATGCGGACATCATCGGGCACCGTGTCGAGCGATCTGGGGGGCTGCCCTGGAACTATGTACTGAGCAGGCTCGGCGAACAAAGGAGAACGCCCTTTCGGAGCCGCTCGGCCTTGGCGCGGCAGACCAGCCTTGGGATCCACATAGTAGACCGGCTGATCCATGCCTCTGTTTCGATGAGCTCTGGCCGGGGGCGCTTTGGGCACCGGCCGCTGAACAGAGGGCACGCCCATCACTTGATCCCAGTTGAGGGGAGGATCTGCCCCGTGATCGTAGCCGGCCGGCTGGTGACGATCGCGATCACGATGAGCCGGCGGCGTGACCCAGGGGGTCTTTCGGCAGAAATGACACATATCCAGGCGACGATCGCAAGCCGTGCACAAAGGAGTGCGCTGGTTGGGGGCCCACTCTTCGCGGGGGACCCGAACGGCTGCGTAACATTCGTCTTGGCCGTCCCCGTCGCAGAAGCAGCCGGTGAACAGGCCGCAATCCACGCAGGGACGGCAGAGCTGATCTGTGTCGCCGAAAGCGAGCGCTTGAAGGCCAACGTCGTTGCGAGGATCCCGCATACCGAAAAGAACAGATAGGGTGGAGAGGGTGGGATTTTTCGGTATGGCCCGATCGGCTATCGCCAAAATGGCCACGGAGAAGATAGATCAAGTCTGTTCCAACGATCGCGAAACTGATCTCCTAATTCCTACCCACCAGACCGATAATTAGGAGACCAGTTACTACGATCGCAGACGTTCGGTGCCCTCACTGAACAGACTATCGGCGATCGCACCTTTTTCATGCGACCGCAACGTGGGAGTCGGCCACAGTCGGATCATCAAAATTTCACTTGATCTTCACAAGTCCGATCGGACCCCCGATCGCCGAGGGGTGCGCCATGGCATTCGCCACAGACCGCAACATCATCCGATCGGACACATCAGACAAGCGATATTCCCAGGCCCTCAAACTCCTTTCGGAAAGTCCGAGAGGACAGTGATCCAACCACACATCAGACCTGTAGCGACATCACCACGAGAGGGATTATCCGCCGGGTTCGAATCGGTCGGTACCCGATCGATATAAACAGAGCACCTAAGCTCCAGAACAAGCTCCCAGAAAATTCCTACGAGCTCGCAGACGTCCTCTTTTGCAGAGTAGCCTTTGATCAAAGCTGCCTCTACAGGCTCGGAATCGATAAAGAGGAGGACCAGCTTTCCACGGATCTCTTCCCTGAAAGTCTGTATCGCAGCGACCGCGGCCAAAAGTTCGATCATGCAAATTTGGGTTTTCCGGGGGAACCACCTCGACATGATCTGCCGTGACACCCCCGAGGCGAATTGCCTAGGCTGATCGTCCCTAGTGAACATCACTCCTCCAATCATCTCAGAAGAGGGATCCTTGGGGTTCGAGCTCGGCGCCGATCCATCCGTGAAAATCACCACGTCGGACTTCCGCGGCCCCGAACTGGGGATAGGCCTCGGAGGCCCATGCATCACGAGCGTCCGCCACTTGTAGAGGGAGTAGAGGAGAGCAGGCGATAGGCTCGTACTGACCGTCTTCCGGGAGTATTGCCTCTCCGACAGAGATCTCAGGAAGGCTCGGCCGATCTTCCCCCAGAGCTGCGAAGCGCCGAACATCAGCTTTCCTCTGAGCTTCCCGGCTTGGCCGGGAGACATCTCTTCGTGTTCCAGGATCGACGAGATCTCGTCGAAGAGCTCCTGCTTCCTGGACTTCTTGATCTTGAGCAAGTACTGATCGAGGTCATAGGTCACGCCCAGGATCGTGGGATCCGAGCAGAGCTGGAGCTTCTGCTGATCGAACCGGGCCCCGAGCCACCAATGGACCTTCTCGGCCAGCGCGAA